ACTTTAAACATATGCACACCATGTGCTCACCTCTGGCTTTTTAGGTTGCTCTTTATCTTGCACCGTGGTCTCCGTGGATGTGTCATCACATCATCAGACAAGCTATTAAGAGTCAGTGTGGTTACAGGGAGGGACTGAAACACAAATCCTGAGTGTCCCCTGATGGACAACTGAGGAGGAAATAGATGAAAGAAATACTCCGGAGTCCACGGTACGTCAGTCTGATGGTTTCCATCTGCTGGTTACGTCTGCTCACCTTCTGCTGTTTCTCCTGCTGCACCGTCTGTGTGTATGCAATTTCTTTTTTTTTTTTTTTTCAGTTCTTGGCCTCAAATGCGTGGCATTCGTACGTCTGTGAGAGTGAATGATGAGTCGCAGCGTTGTGCCATTTCTCAACCATTCCTTCAAGCATGAAACCAGCGGTGTGTGGTAAAAAAACAGTGCATCAAATTAAAGAAAAAATGCTGAAAGCAGACAGCATTTTTGTGCATGCACATGCACACACACACTTTTACACACAAAAAACATATTTTCTTTGTTCAACTGTTAGCAGAAGCTCTGCCAGACTGAAAGCTCTCCTCTTCATGCTGTTACAATAAGAAATCTAACATATTGAGAGATGTGATTTTAAATTATTACATGTTAAATGCTGGTTGTTTAAAAGAAAATAGATGAACTTTTAAGTCAAAAGGGACATGCCTGTTTCACTTTCCATTGTTAAAAAGGGTTAATACCAGGCAGCCATGCAGAGTCATTTTCTTTTAAGTACAGATATTTGTTTGTGAATGCAGTTTGCTGGCACAGCTGCTCTCAGTACAGTGTGTGAATACACAAAACAGCAGATGGAAAGGGTAGAAAAACGTAGAAGGCTGTTTGGACAAAACAGAAGAAGAATTAAGAGCCACATCTTTTTTTCACTCAGCAATCAGATCCAAACCCAACTGAGAGGGAAAGACAACCTGTGTGCTGGTTTGTGTGGGTCTGTTGGAGTCAGCACACTCTGAGGAGGTCTCTACAACTTTCGTGGGCTCATGATATTTAATAAAAGCCTTCTTAAAGTGAAAAAAAAAGCATTTGGCCAAGTGAGAAAAATCAGCCAATGAAAATAGCTTTTCTTTTTTTTTTTTTTTTTTTTTGCGTTTGAAACCAGTGCAAAATAGTTCTAATTATTTTTTAAACAATTTGCATTTGTATTATATACATTGGGTACAAAAGAAAATCTAAAACTGACAGCTGTCTGACTCTGCAAATTTGGTGAACGTCATTCACAAGGCAGTTCTCAAAAGGCATTTAAAAAATATTATTAACCTTTATTTAACCAGGCAAATCCCATTGAGATCACAGATCTCCTAGGCAAGCGAGGCCCGGGGCTGAAAGCAGCCTAACACGTTTTGGAAGAAACCAGAGTACCTGGAGGAGAACATACAAACTCCACACAGAAAGATTCCAGATCCAAACTGGGAGTCAGACCCAGGGCCTACTTGCTGTGAGACATCAGTGCTAATCACCAAGCCATCATGCTGCTGTACATCTTGAAATGGTTCTCAGTTTACTGGCTTGAATTTGAGAGGCTAGCAGTCCTTTTGAATAAAGTAAATTCACAGGGGCAGAGCCAGGGGGTTGGCTAGGGGGGCAACCTCACCTGGAACCTGATTATCCACCCCAGTTGATTGATAAGTCACTGCATTTGACTTTAAAGTGCCTGTGACATCAATTTGTTTGTAATAAATATGAATGCATTTTTGGAAAGTTTACAATAATGACATATTCCTAAATAAATTTCACACCACTGGGATGAACAGTTGTTGAGATATTCACATGTGAAGTAATAGGAAGTGATGTCAAAGGGGAATGTGTGAACATGAACAGAGCAGTGCTACAATGGCTATAACACAGGCTGTTGAGAATAATCGGATATTTCTTTAGATTATTTTGAGTCACTATCAGAGACAGACAAAGAAAGACAGAGTTCAAATAATAATATTTCAATAAACAAAACCACAGAGTTCCATTTTTTATGTCACTTCCTGTTTCCCTATTGCTGAGCCAAGTTCAAAATAAAAATATGCCAATTATGTGACAAAATGGGTAAACTTATGTGTTATGCGAAGTTTTTCATATATAAAGTTGTTTTTTGTATTTGAATATAAAAATGTATTTTGTAATGGAATGCAGTCTTTGTTGTTGGTGTGGGACCTTTGTTATGACATCATCATGCTGAGACAAAAGCAACGGTTAATGCTGCTAACAAAGCTGATGATTCCCTACAAGACATCCAGCTTGCAGTTGCAAGTGTCTGAGCTGCACTTCAAACTGCTGGACTGCTGGACCATCCATATTGTTTTCATTTAACACATTTTGAATTTATATTCTAAATAAGCAGCATTAGCAGCATTAGCAGCATTAGCAGATTTAGCAGCATTAAAGCCTTCGCATACTCTATCTGAATTACTGAACTTAGCTTTCATTGTCGCAGTTGTGACAAAAATTGCAGCATCTTTGAATCTTCCACACCTTTTCACAAACCGCTAGGAGAACTTTGATTTATTAAATTTTTTGGGAGGGGTTTTTTAGGAGCTCGGTGTCTCTCAAAGGCTGTGAAAGATGTGTGTGTGAAAACAAATGTCAAACCAACACGTGACCACTCGTTGACTGTTTTGCTTCATATGCAGTATGTAAAGGCCTTTGGTGGTTGTTTCTGTCACAGAATGATGACATCACAACACTACAACTCACTAACAGCAAAGGCCGCATTCCATTCTGAAAGTCTTAAATGTAAGCTCTATCATTTAGCAGCCACGTTTAAGATTTCATTTTTACATTTATATGTACATTTCGAGATTCAAGACTTATTATTACATACTATTTAACATTTAAATTTAACATTTAGCAACATTCCATCTTACTTATAAAATGACCTAAATGTAAGAACGATGAGCTAAATAAAAGAATGTTATTGCCCCTCTATGAGTATTGTGGCCCCTTGATGGCCCCTTAATAAAAATCCTAGATCCACCACTGCAACAAAGTAAACTTTAGGAACATGTAAGGCAAATATCACATTTTTATCATTTCAGTCTGTAAATAAATAAGACACATTTCTCAACTAAACATATTTTTTGTGTGGAGAGCTTCAAAAATGTAGTGTTAGAGTCATTAAGATAAACTGTAAGCCTGTGTTGATTTTATGTAAAGTTGTACCGAAAGTTGTTGAAAATCAAGAATACAAAAAAGTGCAAAGTCAAAATCTTTCAGGGCCTAACTGCACATGTTATCCCAATTTTATGAGTTTGAACTCACAGAAGATCAATCATACTGTATATTAGGAGAGCCAACAGTAAGCCGAGCCAGATATAATACTTCGGCCTCTGCTGAGAGATGAAAACTCCGAGAGGAATGTACTGAATGTGATTTCTTTCAATTAGACCTGCTCACAGCACCGGTGGGTTTGATTTAATGTCAAACCACAGTGAAGTGATTGAAGACATGTTGGAGGAAAGACAAAGTTATGAGGAGTGGCTGAGGCAGGAATGCAGGCAGAAAGACGAGAGAAAGGAGGAGAAACAAAATGAGGAAAAAAAAACATTGAACTAAAGAGAAGAGTGAAAGCAAGGAGAGAGAAATAAAACGAGGAGCCGTGAAAGATCACAGGACAGAGAGCGTCTTTGACAGCTAATGTGACATGCATGACACTGGTTCAGCCCGAAGCCAAATTCCAGGTCAGGCCTGTGTGTGTGTGGGCATGTTTTTGCACATGTTGGGAACCATTTTCCAGAAAAAGGCGGCCTCATGGGTATCAATGCCCCGTCCCCATGGGTACGGATGCTAATTTCAAGTGGGGGTTAAGGTTTAGGACCAAGGTGTGAATTGAGTTTAGGTTAGTTTTAAAGTAAATGGTCAAAGTTAGGCTATAAAATTATCAGAAAATGAATGGAAATCAATCCACGGTCCCCACAGGGATATAGAAACAAACCTGTCTGTGTGTGTGTGAAAGAAAGGGAGAGAGAGAGAGAGAGAGAGAGAGAGAGAGAGAGAGAGAGAGAGAGATCACTGTAAGTTTTATAGTGTTCACCATCACATGATGCTGGCTGCTGTTACACCCCGCCCACACACACACATTCTTGTATTTGCACCAAATTGAGGGCTTTGTAATGATTAATTTTTGTAACTGTATTTATGCCTGACCCAGACATTTTCCCTAAAATTAACATTACTGGTCTATAGTTAACCCTAACCTGAACCAGAACTTAATTCACACCATATCCCTAAACCTAACTAGTAAAGCACAGCAGAGCTGCAAACAAAGTGAGGACATTGAAGAGCTCCTCACTTTACGTCAGAGACCTCACGTTGATAGTAACTATGGTGCAAATGGTCCTCACCCTATAGTAAAAACAAGTACACACACAAATACAAAGTTGAGTCAATAAAAGCCAAAAATCGGTGTCTCGTGGGTTTTAACTGTTGGTGACTGATTGGAGAAAACTAATATGCAGCCTCTTGGAATCACTTTGCATATATGTTAATAAATGATTAGCAAAATTGTCACAATTTTAGCCACAAAATGTTTTATTTATGTCTCAGTCATGTCTTAAATCCATCGTTGTTTTATTCTTTTTTTTTTTTTTTTGTCTCCAGTTAGTCTTATTTTGTTTCCCTCTCAAAACTGTCTCACATTTTGGAGACTTTCAGATTTGCAGAAGCCAAACTGAGAGGAATTTGAGACAGATGCCAAAGWTTATTTTGTACGTATTTCAAATGTGTTCAAAATTTTTGCAACACTAAAATAAGTTGTTGTAACTCCCATGATGGATTGAAGTTTAGAACACTTTGGAAACTCCCTTTGTAAACATTTGCAATTTGTTGGCAGCAACTGCAGTCCAATGAAATACACTTTAATGTTTAAAGTTTGACTGTGATGCTGGAGTTAATCACACAACTTTGCTTTTTATTGCATAAATTTGCTGCTTATTTTCTTTTTTGTAAAAAGAAAAACAACATTTCACTTTTTCTTTGTATTATATATGTATTTTAATTTGATCTTTTTGTTGAAAAACGATAGCAAACCAGTATGAGTCAGATAAAAAAATTAAAGCAAACACTTATTTTACAATAGAAGCCATTACTCACAACTGAACAGAAAAATACAATATCTGACAATCACACATCAGTAGTTCAGGAGCAAGTGAGAAGATACATGTAGCATACAATAAAAGTAATTATGTGACAAATATGCAAAAACACACAAAATGTTTAATACAGACCTTTACTTTATATCAAAAAATACTTAACAAAAAGGCAAAGGCTTCAAAATATTCGCCCAACTTTATTGTTGCCTCGACTTAAACAAAATTTCTCACTAAAATAGTCAAGATGTGGGTCAAATATCTTCATTTAATAAATGTCCTCATTCATTTTTATATCTTTGATGTGACATGGTGCCACAGCTAAACAAAAGACAAACTATAATAAAAACATAAAAGAAGAGCTGCAACAGGAACCTAGATGTTCAAGTGAGGCTGTGAAACATGTGTTTCTAGGAGCGGTGATGCTTGAAAATGAAACAGTGTCAAAACATTTTTCTTACCACTGCAGAATGGAGCATCTGTTAGAGGCCAGCTGCCGCCTGTTAAGAGGAACATTATTGGAAAACTAGACATGGGTTTTTACGATGTAAAAGCAAGTGTGCATTGCCACGTAGCATGTCATTGCCTGCAGCATTGGACTTGCAGAATGAACTTTGACCGAGTTCAAATGTGTTTTCTATACCAGCTTGTGCCTGTCACATCAGCAGGTGTTTAGAATTAAGGTAATTGTGTGACAATATGAAGTTTGAAGAGTCTTTTCTTAAAGTTGCATTAGCTGGGTTTTGAACCCTGATCTCCCACATGAAAGTCCATGACATAGACCATTAGACCAGTGGAGCTGTGGCAGAGGATGGTGGCAGGGGTTGATTTGTATGTGTGCAGAAAGAGGCCACATTGCCAATACAATTATTGACACAAAAATGCACAATATTACAACAATCAAGCAGTATTAAGACAATATTATAGTAAAACACCAAAATACAATCATATTAGTACTGTAAACACTGAACTACTGAGTTGAAATATTAAACTATGGTGCAGTACCAAGTTGAGTACAACATGGGGCAGTATTGGACCAATACAAGGCTCCATTGACTGCCATCATATTTCATTAAACATTAATATTTCATAAACTATAAGTTTTACAGGCACCAAAAGGCATAGCCATATTTTGGCACAGGAGCTTTACAGATATAAATTACAATGGCAGCTCTAGGATACAGTATGCAGGAGGAGAAGCATGGCAAAGTTGAGATGACTTGGATGGGAAACGAATCACAATAGTGTGCATTGCATTGGCAATGCACACTGATAATGGAGGCATAGTCTTCTTTTTGTGCCCTTTAGAAGTATTGTTGAACTTCTAATGATCAGCTTCAGGCCCTGTCTTATCCAGATACTTCTTTCAACATTTTTTTTACATTTATTAAAAAAACTTTTCTCAGATGGTTCCAACAAAAACACTAAATTACTTAATGCATGCCAATATGTGGCAAAAATATCCAAATTTATAACACATCAAAAACATAGCTTTCTTACAAATCATAGCATTATTTTTCTTTGATACATTTATATTTTCCTCTCAGTTATTAATCCTTTCAGCACATGATCAAAGTTTAATGCTGAGGTTGGACATGAGTTTTAACATTTTCACTTTGCAAAGAGTTTTTAAAAGTCTTTTTCTCCACCAAACGTGTTTTTTTTATCTCCAGTGTTGTGTACACCAGGCCTCAGTGTGTCAACATGTCACACAGCTGAGATGACACTAACAGACCCCTGAGACTGATTTATTCTTTGCAAGGTGTGTTGACTGTTCTCACTGTTAGATGACAAAAAGTATGTTTTTATTCTTGCACAGTCTCCAAAATTTAATTCTGTGCATAAACATTTTAATTCTTGCAGGATATGCACAAAGTAATGTATGATTGGTCAGACCTTGGTGGTTGAGTTACTGCAGAACTGCTCATATTTCACTTTACCTGCTCTGCTGAAGAGCACCTGACCGAGACTGTCCAGCAAAACTTTAAAGGGATCCCCGATTAGTTAGGCTTTATTTGATAAATATTTATTTAATCTGTAAAAGAAAGACTGTAAAAATACTGTAGGCTGTTTAGTTTTGTAAAATTTTAAATATATATTTTAACACGGACAGAGCCATTTTATTTACA